ATACACTCAATTTCGTGGGACTACTGTGTGTTTCACTTGTTTTGTACATGGATATACATACGCTCTCGCTTGCTTTCGTTATAAAAGGCCAGGTTCGACCCTTGTAAATTGTTCTGACGATGGGTGACTTGCCCGAAACATCAATAATATTTCGACATCACTAGTAAAAGAATTTTCATCCAGCGCATGCGCCAAGAGTGAATTGCAACCGAATAGAGCGGTTGTCAGTTGACAAACCCTGTTTTATTTACAATGCAGTTGCGTGATGTCCACCACTTTCTGAATAAGTTCTAACAATACTAAAATGCATTTTGTAGATTTTTCTGGCTGGATTTCATTGACAGGTGCGTTAAACCCATGGACCTGTCCATGAGTGACTTGAGAACTGTAACTATTATTATTATTATTATTATTTGAAAGTAGGACGGAGGCAGAAAATATTACAAAAAAAAGTATTGTCTACGCATGCATCTACGCAAGAGTCACCACCAGCCAATTAGGACATGTGTCAAAGTATTGAACGTTTTCGTTTCCTTCCCTTGTTGTCTTTGCAGTTGTTTGGCACTGTTCGTCGTGAAGGTGCGAAATAGATCTCTTGATATTTCTCTCTTTTTCTTGTCACTACGTTTTTGTCACTTATTGGATTTACATGCTGTTTTCTTGATTCTTCACATCTATTTTTTTCGTGTCACTTCTACACATAATTGGAGTGATATATTTCTGAACTTCTTTTCCTTATAGTTGTAGTCTTTTAGCTTATTTCCATCATTCCCTGTAGTATTTTGACAAGAAGGGAACGAAAACGTTCAATACTTTGACACATGTCCTAATTGGCTGGTGGTGACTCTTGCGTAGATGCATGCGTAGACAATACTTTTTTTTTGTATTATTATTATTATTATTGTAAGAAAGGTTTGCTCCCCACACCGGAGCTCGCGCTATTCCGCCGACTTTACTTGACACTTGACTGACTCACGACTGCCATCCAAAGCGCACGAGAAGTCCATCGAACCTTCGACTCGGCAAACCTGCAAGAAAGCACCACTCCCTGCTCAATACACAGTGTTTCGGGGAATTCACCCCTCATCAGTTGAGCTTGAGTAGGCTGAGGAAGATTGTGCCTGAAGAGCATCACTTATATAGTGCTCCCCAGACACAAACATCACCAGGGATACAAACTTACAGAGACGCTCCGCTTCCAGCGCGATAAACACCTCGTGAACACCAGATAGCAGCGTGAGTCAGTGTCGCTCCTGGACGGTGAGACAGACGTCGAGGACCCTCGGTCATTCGCAACGCTGTCACCTCCAAACCAACTAGTCGCAAGCCCGCGCTGGGCACAACAGTACGAAGTAGTGGTTGCGACTTCGGCGATGATTTGTAAGAAAGGTTTGCTCCCCACACCGGAGCTCGCGCTATTCCGTCGACTTTACTTGACACTTGACTGACTCACGACTGCCATCCAGAGCACACGAGATGTCCATCGAACCTTCGACTCGGCAAACCTGCAAGAAAGCACCACTCCCTGCTCAATACACAGTGTTTCGGGGAATTCACCCCTCATCAGTTGCTTTCTTGCAGGTTTGCCGAGTCGAAGGTTCGATGGACTTCTCGTGTGCTCTGGATGGCAGTCGTGAGCCAGTCAAGTGTCAAGTAAAGTCGGCGGAATAGCGCGAGCTCCGGTGTGGGGAGCAAACCTCTCTTACAAATCATCGCCGAAGTCGCAACCACTACTTCGTATTATTATTATTATTATTATTATTAACTGGTTTGAGGGAAAGAGACAAACGGGAAAAGTCTGACGAAAAAATTGACTGTCACCACCAGGACTCGAACCAGGGACCCTCGCTTGTAGCCAGCGATGCTCTAACCACTGAGCTATGGTGTAGTCGTCATCCCAGCAGAGACCGTTCAACGCTTTCTTCAGACTTCGTATTATTATTATTATTATTATTATTATTATTATTATTATTATTGTAGAAGAGAAAAGGACATATGGATACGAGTTAAGAGTAACTCTCCATCACTGTAACATGATACTATATACAGTCAGAAAGTGCAATAACTAGGCGCAAAACTGACAGAGTACTGAGACATTCGACGTCCTGACACCTAACTTCAACACATGTCCGTAGCGCTAACCGACAGCCTTCCAACTTGGAAGGTTCAAGGTTTTGGAAAGACCAAATGGGGGAAGGCAAGCGCAACGAAAACGAGCAAAAGCTACAGTCCCAACGGAACAAAGAATGTCGATTGTCACTGGACGATGACGAGACCAGTACGATATTTGACAAAGCGGTCTAACTACAATTCGAAGCAGCAAAGCAGCACAACTAGTCCATCACAATGTCATGCATGAGGAGTACTGTAGGAGTTTGGCTTTCGGCTTGTACAATTCGTTTTCGCAAAGCTTCCCTTTCTTTACTTATCTTTGATATTTATGACCCACCCAAGTTGGGTGGTGTGCTGCTTTGCTGCTTCGAATTGTAGTTAGACCGCTTTGTCAAATATCGTACTTGTCTCGTCATCATCCAGTAACAATCGACATTCTTTGTTCCGTTGGGACTGTAGCTTTTGCTCGTTTTCGTTGCGCTTGCCTTCCCCTCTTTGGTCTTTCCAAAACCTTGAACCTTCCAAGTTGGAAGGCTGTCGGTTAGCGCTACGGACATGTGTTGAAGTTAGGTGTCAGGACGTCGAATGTCTCAGTACTCTGTCAGTTTTGCGCCTAGTTATTGCACTTTCTGACTGTATATAGTATCATGTTACAGTGATGGAGAGTTACTCTTAACTCGTATCCATATGTCCTTTTCTCTTCTACATTTATTTATGGCTCAACATCCGAGTTTAAAATTATTATTATTATTATTTTAATATGGCAATAAGTAGGACGAGCTGAAGCGACATGTGGACTACTTTATTAACAATGTAAGCGATGGAATCATCTTTTTTTCCTTTGCCCTTTTTCTTCTTACATGTATTTTATTTACCCTTTAGATTGTTTCTTGCATCGTCTCCATCGCTTACATTGTTAATAAAGTAGTCCACATGTCGCTTCAGCTCGTCCTACTTATTGCCATATTAAAATTATTGTCTCCTCGTCGAATTTTTAAATTATTATTATTATTATTATTTTGCTTGTTCGCGTTGGCATCAACCTGCATAAAGCAGGTATATAGCCTTCGCTTAAGCTGCCATAAAAAATTAAAAAAGAAAGCTCATCCTAAGCGAGAGGGCTAGAGGAAAATATAACGATAACGAGATACAGAATACAAAGAAATCCAATGAGTTCAGCATACAATTCAAAACAAGAACGAAAGGAAAGAAGAACAGAGCCGAATCTACCGATTGATCCATCAATCGACAAAAGGGGACTAATCCGTTAATGTTGCAAAGTAGAAGCTGATTGTAGTTGCAGATCTCCACTGTAACTATTAGTATGTATAAATTAGGACTGCGAGATCCTTGACTTTCCCCAGCATTTTTCTGGACTGTGAGCGGCTTAAGGCCAGGCTCATCATGAACAAGCTCCCTGACCTCCCATCCCTGTTCCCACCGTCCGAGGACATAAAACCGCAGCTTGAAAGTTTGCAGAAGCAGCTGAAACGATCTGGCGGGTCTGTTCAGAAGCCAGCCTGGTACAAACAGTAACATTTTTTGACTTTTCGCATGAACCATATACTCCTTGTCTGTTCCCCTTTCTTTTCTGGGTTGAAATTATATAAGTTCTCATCACTTTGGTTTCATGTAGTCCCCAGTTACAAAGTTGCAAAATGCAATAACAAATTTGTATTTATCTTGTACATACATGTAGTAGCAAACACCGGTGACAGAAATCCACCAGTTAATCATTCAGTACATGAACATTTGAACAGGCGCAACATGTCGCTTCAGCTGATTCTGTTTATTGCCATCCTACTTCCTCCGTATACTAAACCTTTGACCTTCTTTTTTTTACTTTCTTTGGAAGACTGCACATAGCTCTGGAATTGTTCCGTTTGACTTGGAATAACACTCGTGGCATTGTCTAACCTGTTTGCAAGCTATATACAAAGAAAAAAGCAACTCAGACGAATGAGATTGATTCTATTCAGAGTCTTCGTCTCTTGTGTCATTGTCACCTGACGACTCTGACTCCCCATCGCCAACAGTCGCTGCTTCCGCTCGCATTTCGTTCAGCTTCTTGTCAGCGGAGTGATGATTCGACACGGCACTCTGGCTACTTCCTCTTCATCTCCAGAGCTGCGTACGAATTGACGTCGACTATTCAGTCGTTCCAGCCCGCGACCTCAACAATGCCGTGAAATGAGTCGTACAAGCACATCCACAGGCTCTCAGCAGTATACTCCTCCCAGCATTGTACAACGGCTTCGAGGAGGTCCCTGCGATTCTCCTTCGCGACAAAGGAGACGTCTGACTGGAGAGAGGGGCGAAGAAAGCCAGGTCGTCGACATTCCGATCCGGAGTCTGCTCTGGTTGCACTACGACTGAAATGTTTCATCTTGCTGTGCGAGAGGAACAGTCTTATGGTCTCACGCTGCAGGCCGTGCACTGTACGTAGACCTACGTGCCCGGCTAGCTTCAGGGCAGCGAGTGCCGCGTGACTCTGTGTTCCAGCCACGAGCTACACTTCGTCACTGCGTCAGTTTCGAGCTAGTAAGTGTTAGTTTTTTCTTCAATCGACTCGTGAGTTCCTCCTCCGGCAACGACCTCACGAGCATGGCTTCCGTGGAGAATCTGTTCGAGATCAACCAAACTTACCTCGACATGAATGTGGGTTGTCGATGATAGCCTTTGGCGCGGTTCGTTGAGCAGGTTGTTGCTAAAAAAACGTTGAAAAACGTTACGAAGTTTTTGTATACGGAGGAAGTAGTGCATGAAAATTTTAGTCTTTGCTGTGAAATCATGAATGTCTATTGTTTCATCGTTTATACAGAAACTCCCAATTAAGGCTCTCAAAGGCTTAGTAATATCATACCAATAATGACGTTTTGACTACTTACGAATGCAAGGTGAATCAAGAGGTGACCACATACCAGCTACTGTGCATGAAATAGAGTTGCCGGAGGTAGGTTTGAGGGACCATGTGTCATTACACTTAGCTGTTGCAGTAGCTCCTTGCTTTGTAGACGTAAACACGTAGGTACCTCCAGTTGGATTCTTGGGGACACCGCAGTCTTTGACGGCAGAGAAAAACATTAAATGAAGAGAATTCGGCAAAATCATTCTGATTAATGTTGTGATTTCAGTTCATGACCAACCACAGAATGAGGACTGCTTGTTCCATCGGGACATTTGGAAAGGCACACTGAGACAGGGGAGTCAGACACGGTACAGTCACCACGGTATTGACCGTACCACTCTTTGCCCCGGTACCCCATGATTGATTCAAATGGTGATAAAAACACACCTGGCAGTGTGGTGGTAAATACACACCTGCCCTCACACGCGCACTAGGCTGCAACGTTATTCTAGCACAGAGCTCTCCTTCTCACCATCAATACCCCATGAACGAAAAAATACACTGACCTGGGCTCTAAATTTGCGAAGTTTTTGGCTCATCCACCGCTCCCCCATGAGTAACTTGTACTTCAGATGGCTGACCATGCCACACAAAAATACCTTCCGAAGCCCCTGTGAGACATTTATGTCTGACCACACTGGTACCAGAAGATGTGGTTTTTGCTTGCGTTGTGGCTAGTACTGTTTCATTTTGAGCATCATCTCTGGTGCATTAGTGCGGTTGCGCTCCTGAGATAAGATTTTCTGTCGGCTGTTCCTCTCCAGGACCAGCTGTCCATGGAATATTAGGGTGCCACCAATCACTTTTTACAGCAATGTGCATACACGGCGTTATCCACGCTGTGCAATAGGCCTCGTTGAGTCACCACTAGGACCAAGGCACTTCTTCACCAGGTTTTGCAAAAGGAGAAACACTGCCGTCTGATCATTTGCTCGCAGAGTATGTGCAGTGCCAGAGCACATGCTTCACCGAAGACTTTCAACAAGGGGTTTACAGTTTTAACTTTTTACTTATTTCACCACCTGGTACATTTATCAAGATGCGCAGACTCCACTTTGGCTATCCATTATGACCCTACATCCTCACAGCACTTGCCCGAAGTAGCTGCCCAGTACCCGAGGATTTTCTGCGGGATCTTCCGCTACTGGTGCAGTCCATACTGATTTTTGTTGTGGACCTGTTCTTCTTTCTCGTCATGTGCTGTTATTCAGTAAGTGATGCTTTGTGGCGGCTTCATTTGAGCTCCTGTGCGGCAAGGATTATTCCCAAGATGCCTAAGTGCTGGTAGCCTTGTGAAAATGCATATGGATCCGTGTGTGCTTTCCTGCTACGAGGTTAGATGCGGCTCGTGCACGGTTGTTGGAGAGCTCCAAACTTGATTATTCCCGACGCTATGCAAAAGACGTTACCTTAGTAGTGCCTGGCTCTAGCCAGGGTCCACACCGCGTTATTTCGTATGTCTGTGTGTGTGGTAGGACCATCATCACGTGATGCGCCATGACTGGCCCACTATCCCGTGCATGTCCTGCACCGTACCGTCACAGAAAGATGGCCACATTTGCTAAATTCCCAACTTGCCGGGCACAATTAACGGCCCTGCCATCACTCACTCGTCGTAGTGCAGAAGAGAGAAGTGGAACTCCAGTAACATTTCTTTAACGATGGATTTTCCTCGCTAAAACCTTAGACTTTGTGCCATGTTAGAGATTCAACTCTGACAATGAGCAATACAAGGTAACTTGGAATGGCGTGCAAACATACTGTAGTTTGTTTGGCTGTACTGTGTTGTTGTGAGCAGCAGTGACCCCTCATTCTCGTACCTTGTTTCAGGGCGTATTTTAGCCGTTTTGTGGATTTTGCCCAATATCCAAGCCACACTGGGGGTCAATGGACCAAACTGTAATAGTGAGTGAATAAGGGTTATCCAGAAGTAACCCGTGATGTCATCGTTTCTCTTGCCGCAAATTTCAAAAACTGCCCGCAAAACTTCAGACCATCTGGCATCATACGTCATACCGAAGTATTTTGGGGACGCAAGAGCTATCTGCTGGTGTGTAGTTCTTGCTAGTTGAGGACGTAGCCCGTTGTTTTACCAGCGCTTGTAATTTGGCTATTTTCAAGACAATCAGTCGTGTAGTCAGGGGGTGATGGTCCTCGTCTTCTGGGGTGCTGGTGTGGCTAAGCTGTGCTGCCCTAGGAACTCTTCTACGGTGAGGCAATGTTGGCTTGATGGAGTTTTGTTTGTAGCTTGTTCGTGTACGCTGTAGCGTGGCTTGTTTGTAGACCCATAAATCATGTGATGTTTTGACCATCTTTGAGGGGTATGCCAATTTCAAGGTTCCGGTCAGAAACTTTTTCAAAGGCTTCGTACAGTCGATCTACACCCCAAAGGAAACCTACCTGCAAATATATTGAAGTGTACAACATGCACAGAGGTGCTGAGTTGAAGTGCAAATGATTGACATATATTTTGCCGAGGTGGCTTACCCGAAGCGTTGGTCCTCACAATCACAGTAGCAGTATTCAGTGATTGTAGGGCATCTGTTTTTGTGTAGGAAAACAATGAGTAGTTTGTGTATGGCCGGAGGCCAGTTATTTGTACACTAAACGTTTCCTCACAGACCGGTGTCAAGGATCGATTGTGTTTCACACAGAATTGTCCAGTCATTGGTTCATAATTAGAAAAATTCGCAGTTATTGAAGTTGAAGTGGTGTTGTATGTCACAGTCGGAAGTATTGCTGAAAATAGAAGCAGCAAAAAAGAATACAGCCATAAACTTGGTCCGCCAAGTTAAAATTGGCGCTTATCTTTGTCTCAAGAAGAAAATACAAACACTTGAAGCATGCCACGATCAGAAAACACTACGTACACATGGCTGGTTTTCTGCGAGATTCGACCTTCCGTGAAGATTATTCATTTGGAGTGAAGCTCGTTTTTTGCCGGGACATTTTTTTGTGCCACGTTGGCACGCAAAGCTTCGCGCTGTTTTGTCACTTGTCACCTCTTGAGATCGACAATAGCTACCGAGCTGCGATCTATTGTTCAGGAGGTCGTCAGGCTTCTGCCTGACGATGCTCTTCTGCTCAGTCCCGACGACGAGGAATTTTACGCTGCTGGGATCACTCGAAATGATGCGACTGAGCTGGGTCGAGATTCCGACGATGACCCGAAAATTGCTCTGGTACCGGGTAATGACACTGAACAAGATTCCATCAAAAACTCATTTTTGCCAAATTTTCACGGAAGGTCCATTTTTGCAGATATCCGGCCACAGGATGATTTACATGTCAGCAAGCAACTCAGTCCGGTTGCTGCACCTAACACCTTGCACCAGTGTCGCAAAGACGCTCTGGAGCAGGAGAAGCTCTTTTCCACGAGCTTTCCGAAAAGTATGTTTCACGAGAGGGCCCCCATGATTCGCTGTTTATTCCCGTAGCTATGCAGAAGACGTTACTTCAGTAACGTCTGGCGCTAGCCAGGGTCCACACAGCTTTAATTTGGTGTTTGTGTGTTTCTTTGTTTGTGTCACGCCTGGCGCTATCCGTATCTGACGGCAAAAAAGCATAGATGTTATACATTTTTCAATTCTCCTTTTTTTTAAGGCATATCCTGGGATTCGAACCCGCACTATCGCCCTACGTAGCTACATGCATTCCCCCATACACTTCGCATTCATACCCATTCTTCCAAGTTGCTTTACGTTTTTATCTTGCGTTTGAAAGCCCTATTTGAATATTGCGGGCAGCTGTATGTGGCCAGCTGTGTTTGATGGTACGGTACGGGAGACGGTTTCGTATTACCCTCGATCGTACCTGTCCCGTACCTATCCCCTACCGTACCGTGCCATCAAAGACGGCTGGCCACAATGCATATTCAAATAGGGCTTTCAAATGCAAGATCACAATGTGAAACAACTTGGAAGAATTAGTATGTATGCGAAGTGTATCGGGGGATGCATGCAGGGCGCGCGATAGTGCGGGTTCGAATCCCAGGTTATGTCTTTAAAAAAAGGAATTTTTTTAAAGAATTTATAACATCCCTATGCTTTTTTTTTGTCTAGGTCATCAAGGCAAAAAAGCATAGCGTAGGGCCCTGAGCTTCCAAGCTCTCTCGTTTAGATCAGCTCCCTTGCCAGGTCCTCGGTGAGTTTCAGAGCGTGTCCGCCGGATTTTTCTCACATTCTGGAGATGTTAGTGCTGGCATTAGCTGCAGTTTCTTCTTCAGCAATTTTCTGGCGATAACTATTCACTAGGCGCTGTACGAGCACTGAAATTCAAGCTCCAGAAGCATATTTTCAACTGTTCTAATGAGACTATACCTCCCTGGGGTAAACAATCCTTGCCATCACTGATATCAGCCACCGGCACAAGTAGGCAGGAACTATTCTCCATCGCCCTGGAGTGGAAACATTCAGACTTCTTTTACGGACTGGAAATCGTCTTGTGTTGACGGAAATGCTCAAGTCAAACGACTAAAACGAACCGATCGCAACTTCTGTGATGGTTTGTGCTGTCCTGTTGTCGGATGCAATGGTCAATGGTTATGTTCGGATCGTGAATCAGTGGTTCCATGCCGTATGATGCAGGCAGAACACCAAGAAATCAAGTGCATAGATAAGCGCCAATGTTAACTTGGCGGACCGAGGACAACCATGTCCCTCACAAAACATTCTTGTGATATCTGCCTCTTGTGAATTACTGGTAGCTCTATTCAGGTCAACGTCTTGCCGTTTCGAGTATAGGTTAGTGCATGGCAGGGAGAGCTTTATGGCTTGATAGTACATGGCAGGTTAACTTACAGTCCATTCAGAAAAAGATGGACTTCTAGCTTTGGCCATAGATGGGTCAAATGTTGGGGGTTTTTAGAATTTTTTTTGTTTCTGAAGTCTATTTCTCCAAAAAGCAAGCCGTGGCAAGAATAGGATTTCGGCCAGCACTGAATGGGGAAAACCATCAAAATGCAGGCCGTTTGACCCTGCCTACAACAGTGCATTGTACGGTTCGAACCCCAGTTCAGGTACCCTTTTGGACCCTTTGTGCGGCTCATTCAGCAGCAGACTGCCACGCTTGGTGATGCCCTGCAGAAAGTGCGGAAGAACAAGCAGCTGATGAGGGCGAAGGCGAAGGCATCACTCCAAGCCGAGGCCGTCGCTCTGCATTCTGCCGCACCTCCAGAGGTTAAACGTACCATCGACCTTGCTTCGGAGCAGGGGGCATCCAGCTGGCTCACCTGCCGGCCCCTAAAGGCCCACGGCTTCACCCTCACGAAGGCTGAGTTCCGCAATGCTGTGCACCTCCGGTATGGCTGGCACCCAGTACGACTGCCAACATCATGTTTCTGTGGACAGCAGTTCACCGTCAGCCATGCCCTCTCCTGCCCGTTACGCGGTTTCCCAACCCTCCGCCACAACGAGGTACGCGACGTGACAGCTCGCCTTGCGAAGCGTGTTGGCCACCAGGTGGCTATTGAGCCACATCTGCAGCCGCTCACTGGAGAGCAGCTCCGGTACCGTACTGCTGTGGGCGACGACCAAGCCCGCCTTGACGTGGTGGCTAGTGGTATTTGGGGAGGGCGGTTCGAGCGCACCTACATTGATGTCCGGGTGTTTAACCCGTTTGCGTACTCGAATGACCTCAACTCACTTGCTGCTAGCTACACCTGTCACGAAAAAGCCAAGCGCCGTGCCTATGAGCAGAGAATCCGAGAAGTGGAACACTGCAGCTTTGTTCCCGCCGTGTTTTCCACTACGGGAGGCATGGGGAAATCTGCCACCTCTCTGTACAAGAGGATAGCGTCCCTCATCGCCGACAAGACCGGAGAGGCCTACAGTGCCGTGATGGCTTCGATCCGGTGTCAGATCAGCTTTGCCTTGGTCCGATCCAGTGTGATGTGCCTGAGGGGTGCTAGGCGGCTCTATGCACCGGTCTTTGCCGCGGACTCAGCTGCTCTTGTTGTTGCCGAGGCGGCTATCGCCTGTTGAGGTTGATGGTCGTGCTCATTTATACCATGTTCTCATAATTTCTGCTTTTCGTGTCATTCTTGCTTCTTGTGTTTGTTTGTTCTCCTCTAGTTTTCTTATGTTCGCGGAGAAGGCAGAGAGCCGGAACACAGAACCTCTTATTTTTAATTTTCTCTTTAATTTAAACAATCGACGAGGAGACAATAGTCGTAAAATGGCAATAAATAAGATAAATTGTGCACTCATAACAACAGCAAAAATGAAGAAAGTCAAGTTCCATAACGTTTTCTTGTGACTGTCATCAGTGGAACGCCGTCACATAAAAATGTAATAACTAAAACACACACTTATATACATGTAGCTAATATGGTTTCAGGTAGAAATACAGCAGCTAACAAGTACAAAAAGCGAAGTTTGCACCTTTGCAATGTGTGAATATAGTGTATGTGAGAAAGGTAGTGGCAGATGAATGTGATACTGTGTGAATGAATGTAATGGTGCGTGTGTATTACTTGAAGAGTGTGAGTGATACAACGTTTTCTTTCTGTTTACATAGCACAGGGTCACGAGTACGAATATACACAGCTTCCAACACCTGCAATTGCTTGAAGAAACGTGCGCAACGAATAACACTAAACCAGGAATCGTCAAACACCTTACGACATTCTGGACTGGACACCAAATGCTTGTACACTGCAGACTTCCTCTTGTCAACATCAAACTCCTCCTCATCACTACTCTCATCCTCCACCTCCATTCCAATGCCGCCGTCCATCCCATCGCACTCGTATTCGTCGTCATCAGTCTCCATCTCCTCGCGACACCGCTTCCCTCTCCTTGATTCGTTCTGTGCCGTGCCTGTGCTTCCTCCTGCGTCTCCTTGCCTTGTGTTCTCCACTTGACTGTCACCACCAGGACTCGAACCAGGGACCCTCGCTTGTAGCCAGCGATGCTCTAACCACTGAGCTATGGTGTAGTCGTCATCCAAGCAGAGACCGTTCAACATTTTCTTCAGACTTCGTATAATAATAATAATAATAATTAAAAAGGTGAGTCTCACCGTCCAGGAGCGACACTGACTCACGCTACTATCTGGTGTTCACGAGGTGTTTGTCGCGCTGGAAGCGGAGCGTCTCTGTAAGTTTGTATCCCTGGTGATGTTTGTGCCTGGAGAGCACTATATAAGTGGTGCTCTTCAGGCACAATCTTCCTCAGCCTACTCAAGCTCAACTGATGAGGGGTGAATTCCCCGAAACACTGTGTATTGAGCAGGGAGTGGTGCTTTCTTGCAGGTTTGCCGAGTCGAAGGTTCGATGGACTTCTCGTGTGCTCTGGATGGCAGTCGTGAGTCAGTCAAGTGTCAAGTAAAGTCGGCGGAATAGCGCGAGCTCCGGTGTGGGGAGCAAACCTTTCTTACAAATTATTATTATTATTATTATTATTATTATTATTCAAAGGATCAGTTTGAATTTGAAGTTCTCCCATCCTTTCCAAATTATTATGATTATTCCCATTTGTCTCTTTCCCTCAAAACCAGTTAATATTTTATGACTTGGGGCTCCCCGCGTGCTAGTTTGTACGTGAAGTGTGTGGGTACAGTGAGGGCTGCGTCCCACCCGCCTGTGTGGATTCACAGGAAGTGTGAGTTACGAAGTCTGAAGAAAACATTGAACGGTCTCTGCTTGGATGACGACTACACCATAGCTCAGTGGTTAGAGCATCGCTGGCTACAAGCGAGGGTCCCTGGTTCGAGTCCTGGTGGTGACAGTCAATTTTTTC